CCCCAAAACCCCAAAACCCCAAAACCCCAAAACCCCAAAACCCCAAAACCCCGAAAATAAGAAATACTATTGAATTCCTAAAAATGTCCTTTATCCCAAATGTTGGCAATGGAGCTTCTCGAACGCGTACTTTTTGGCTATAAATTGCAATATTAGTTATTACGGAACACTTTTAGACTGCATTACTTAATAATTAGAATATTCATCAATTGCAACACATTTTATCCTCCCCGGGGATTGAGGGCTTAGTAGAGCTCTTATAACTCTCTGAAGGTTTGGGAATTATAGATGCAATCTCATTAATAAGAGTCTCGATAGCATCTCCTACATTGTGCCCTGTTTGGGCACTAACTTCAAAGAAAGCAGCATTATTATCTCTTGCGAAGGCTGCTCCCTCGGACTCAGAAACGGCTCTTTCCTCTTCTATATATCCTGTTTATTGCCTAGAACCATCGTAATGATTTGGTCGTCTCCATGCTCCTTGAGCTTTTGGAGCCATAGATCCAAGGCTTCGAACGATTCTTTGTTGGTTATATCATATATACAGAGTCAGCCAGCTGCTTTCTTAAAGTAAACAGGGAGCATATTGTTGTAAACCTCTTGTCCAGCCGTGTCCCACAGATGAACCTGAATGGGGATTTCATCGAAAAGTTTGAGATTGATCTTTCAGAACTCGAACCCAACTGTCTTGACAGTGTCAAGCGTGATGCTTGGATCTGGATCAATGTACCTCTTGATTATACTAGTTTTGCCAACTGTTCCATCTATATTAGATGATTAATTTAGTTTCCTCAAAATATGATGTTAAATGGTCATAATACTATTTCAGCGGTTTGAAAGCTGAGCTAGTCTCAACAATTTCAGAGAGTAAAGGGAATCAGACTTAGAGGTTAGCAATGTATATCTACTGCTCTCCATTGAGCTCATACTCAAACACTTTGGAAGGAAAATCACTTGTAATAACAATTTATTTAAAAAAATTGACTTCAGTATTTTCTTCCAAACTGTTCATATTACTAAAGCTTATGCGCTAACTAAAATTTCAGGAAAGCACTGTGAAATGGATTTCCAAATTGCCAGGATGTCAAAAGAGCGCTTTGAGCCAATTTAGATTGAAAAGGAGCAAGAAGCCTGAAGTTTCAAAGCATCAGAGAAAAGACCTACCTCCAACAAGGATGATTTTGAACTTATAGTCAGGAGTAACATCCATTTCGGAATTGATCTTCTTCAAACTCCTGTTAAGCTGGTCGTATGAAGGCTGAGACTCCCTACTTATATTCATTTTTAATGATTATTATTACTTTAATCTCTGTGAAGTTGAAGGGGTTTTGGGGTTTTGGGGTTTTGGGGTTTTGGGG